TCCTACCTGCTCCTTGGCATACTCCTGCAGAGTGACAGTGTCTGTGCCAGGTGGGAGCCGAGATACGAAAAGCGAGATGCGCTTCACAGACTGAACAGCTTTGATCACATTTGATTTTTGGAGCCCAACTACACTTTTCGCTGGCATAACTTTGCCTTTCGGTTTCGCAGCAGCCACCTTACCTCGCTCAGCAGGATTGGTACCGCGCTTAGCCTTGTTGGCAATGTTCCAGCCCTCCTCCGTTGAAGGCACAGGTGCAGCAGCAACAGCAGCGTATGACGCCGCCGCCGCCGCCGCCTCCGGCACCCTACCCTCTGGATGGGCAGGAAGACGCGACTCGCCAAGCTCTGGCGCAGATCCAGGCGTTCTCTGGGTGGCGGGGTGTCCTCCAGGACGGGTCGAAGCAGTCGGTCCTTCCGCGCTGGCAGTGGCAGAGGTCCTCTCCTGAGGGACCGGTCGCTCGGGAGCATTCAGCGTCGTCAGACTGACCCGGCCGGCACCAGCACCGGCGCACAGCACAGTCTCGACTCTTCGCGACGTCTCAGCGCTCACCTTCAGCACTTCATCAACAGTGGACTTCAGCTGAGACATGTCCATCTCCATCAACTGCTGTTTCCTGAGGAGCGCGCTTACATCGATGCAGTCTATCGATATCGGCGGCAGCTTATCAAGGTTCAGTGCGACGAACCTCGGCAGGTCACCTCTGTTGCATTCAAGGATCATCTTGAAGATATCTTGAATATTCAGCTGTTTTTTATTCTGCCCACGACGATTACCAGCCTTGACAGAATCATCCACGTGAGAACAAAGAAGACTTTTTGCAGTTTCAACTTCATCGTCATTAAAATTCTCGGAAATCAGGCGCACTAGTGTATCCTGAGGTATACTGTCGACCTTATTCAGCATGTAGCACAACAGTTCGTTGATAATTGTTGTCATTTTACGAACTGCTTGCTGCCTTTTTCAAAAAGAAACTTCGATTTTTGCGCTAGCACTGATAGCCGAACACCCTGTTACCACCCTGTCGCGTTTTTTTGCGTGTGAATAAAAAACCGCGGCGCGTAGCGCCGCGCCGCTTGGGGTAGCTTTTGGTACATCAATTTTGGACATTGTGTGAAATTTTTGACCCCAGGTCATGTCAGGTCAGGTCACCAGGTCAAGTTAACTGACCAAGCCTAAAAAAGTTTGCAATCATGTCCAGCCTGCAGTGTTTGTCAGAAAGGTTTGAAACTTGGTGGATTGCATGCTGTTATGAGCGCCTACAATTTGTATATCTCGGATTTTTTATATCCGTGACCTAAGGTCAGGTCAGTGGCGTGACCTTTCCATTAAAAGTCAATGGAGAAAAATGAAAATGCCTCTAGATCCGTGTGTACGCTTCGGAACAGTCCAAATATTTCAGAATCACAATGATTTAGTCCACTCGTGATGACCAAGGTGTCATTTTTGCTGATAGCCTCTAGACAGGTCATCCGAGGTCACTTGAGGCTACAAACAGTTTTTTGCCAATAACTCGCGATTGGAAAGAGATAGAACGCTGGGGATGGTCTCATTGTGTTTGTCTTGTTGAGACGCATCGACTGATATGCAACATGACCTTTTCCGGTAAGGTCATGACCTTGACCTGAGGTCAAATTTTTAAGTTGACCTTTCAAGGTCAAATCATAGTTCATTTGACGCGTCTCGGCGAGGGGAACACGATTCTGGCAATAGAAATGTCGTGGCTTTTTGTAGTCGAAAGTTATTGTCGAAAAACACTTTTCGTAAAAACAGCTATATTTGGAGTTTTTGCCCTCTGGAGGCTAAACCGTTGACCTTTTTTTTTTAAATAAATTTAGCTCGAATGTTTGAATGGACGCGGATTGACAGAGCCGGAGTCCACGCTAAGCAGAGCTTGTTGCGTAGACCCCGACTCCTACCGTCCGATCGCGCAATTCCGGGTAACGGGAGAATTTAGATGCCAAAGTTTAACGTGCCCTTCAAAGCCGGACACGGCCTGTCCCACTCAACTGACTTCAACTGGCTGCGGCTGCTCCCACCAACCGCAGACCATCCCCGTCAGGAGTCTCATATATCGAGCGCCGGAGCGTCTCGAACCCGGGCTCTCACTATCGGGAGTCCGATGCTCTACCAACTGAGCTACGGGACAGGCCTGAGGTCAATATTGATAATGACCTTTTCAAAAGAAGAGTTCAAAAGCTATCGATTGCTTTTCCATGCGTTTTTCTAGCTACCATAGTTCCTGAGATAGCGGCATGTTTTCTGAAAAATATAATGACAATTGGCAAATTTTGACCTTTGATGACCTCTGGTGACCCCAATATTGCTCTAAGGTGAAAAATGACCGATATACTTTCAAACGTACGCATTGAGAGCTATCGACTGCTTTTTACCGCGTCTTCCTAGCCCTCTTAGTTTTTGAGTTAGAGGTAGGTGGTAACATATGCCCCCCCCCCCCCCCCCCACTAGGGCGAAGTTGGCTGAGATCGCCACTGGGGCGCGGGTTAGAGCGCTCACCTTATCATTACCTTAGCCTTCACAGCATAAATGGTTAATGGGCTGACACGTTCAAATAGGCTACTTAGTTAGGTGGCAAACCGTTGTTTTTAATAGGGCGCTTTTACATGAGAGGCATGGACGCTTTTTGATGGGGTAGTCCGTAAATGCGCCCTTTGCAGGTGTGTCGGAAAACTTTTCTCTTGTTAATTTTTATGGGTGTGATACAAATTAGGAGTTGTAATTTGATGCTGAAATAACTGAGGTACAATTTGAGATATCATCAAGCATGACAGATGGTCAACTTTAGCCGCAATAGGCCGATATCCTTGGCGCAATATGACCTCTCTCCCCTACAAGTTGTGAGACCTCTGGAGGATACTGTACTACATCCTGCAAGTTTTATCTCCCTGTGAAAGCTCCTCTGGCACTGTGGGCGCTGCGAAGTTGCGACATCGAAGACTGTACAGAGGTTCACTTATGACGTCATAATAGGTCAGTGACCTGACCTAACCTGAAAATTCGGTTGATGTCACAAGATGCGGCTTGGATCAAAGGTCAGTTGTGCCAACTTTCATCTCTCTATCGCCGGCGTGTTCGGAGCTATTGCGAAAAAAAAACCCTATGGGGGATGGGGGTGCGGCACCCGCCCCCTTCGGCCGGCCGGCGAGGGTTATCATTATAGAATGGCTGCAATCGGCGAAAACGTCATGCTGACTTTTGGAGTTTACCAAAGTTCGTTTGAGGTCACGACATTCAAAATGGCTAATAAAACTGTATCTTTTGTTTCAAATGGTGCTTAGTTCGTCCCAATCGGCTCAGTAATTGCTGATTAATGGGATGGCTACAAGGGTGGCAGTCAAGTAGTGTAGTCCAATATTTGTAGTATTTACCAAGGCCTTGTACGGCTACATATGTAACGCAAGCGTTACAAATGAATTCAAACAATTCGCGCTCGATTTTTACCGATTCTTACGATTCTCCCAGATTCTCCTACGCGTCCTATTCCAACAACAACAACAACATCTACAAAGATTCTTACAGAATAGATTGAGATAGTTCAAGTTGAGTGCATGGATCACTTACAAGTCTTCCTTCAGTGTGCTTCAGTGCAACCTTCAGTGTAATTTATCCCAATCGGGGTAAGTGTATACCGAAATGGGGTCGTCCGTCGTGGACAAAAGCATTGATTTATTCAATCATCCATTCATTCATTTTGCTTTGAGCTAGTTTATGTGCTTGAGCCTGGGCTGATACAGTTTAGGTATAAACAGCTTTGGCTGTCAATAATGCTTGTCAGTTGGGGAAACTACGAGGCGAAGATCCAAAAATGAATCGGTCAATAAATGGACTTGATGACCATATGGGCATAAATGCAGCCCTCGCTACTACGGGTGGAAAACATTATAACCTGCCGGTACCCTTGGGGTATCTTGTCCACTTATCGGGGAGAAAAGGCTTCCATTTTCCACGTCTAAGAATAACTCGATTCGCTTGAATTCGATGAATTCACTCGAAAATGGCGATAGAAAAACAGCATTTCTGCAGGTTCTGGGGATCACAATCAGCTGGCCATTCCATAAATGGATCAGTATTTTGAAAGAAAATTGTTATAAGATTTAATTTCATTGCAATAAATAAAGATGTTTAATATTAAAATGATAATAGACAGGCATAACGCTGATATACCTGTGTGTCTCTGTTTCAGATGTAGACAGGCATAACGCTGATATACCTGTGTGTCTCTGTTTCAGATGTGTGCCCAGCATTCAATACATTAATACATGATTGAAATGTGCAACTTGCCTATCTAGATAATGTAACCACAATTGGAAAACCATATACAAAATAATAAAAATAATGACATTTTAAACCATGGTGGTGCTTACATTTTTTGCGTGACTGTTTCAATCCGCCATATTTGCCAATCACTGTTTGACCTTGTAAATAAACTAAGTGGCTAGCCGCTAGGGAGCAGATATATATATATCTTTTTTTTTGGAAACCGCTAGCGGATGCACCTGCAACCACGGATGCATTCTGTTACCGAGTGCAACTGAAGCTTTTTTCATATTCGCGCACGGGTTTCTGGATTATACCCAAAACCGGTGGTAGTCGTGCCGATGACGGGTCAAATTTTTAGCTTTGTAATGAAACAGATCTCAACAAATCCTCTGCGAGTAGGGTGGCTTCCGTTGACCACATGCTTACTCCCATCACAAGTTACCGGACGGCGACCGCCCCCTCCTCCCCTATCCCTCCGCAACCACTCCCCTCGTCCCGTCGCGCTGTCTGCCATCGCGTGTCAGGCTTTGATCAGTGCTACCAGTGGCTCTTAAATAAAATTCTTCCGCTCAGCCGCGGCTGGGGCAGGTGGCGCCCTCCCCTCAGTCGCGGTACTTTCAAGAGAGACTATGCATGACAAGACTGTGTTTCATCTCCAGCATAATGCGCGCGTCGACGGAAAGCCGGCGGCGCTCGTCGATGGCGCCGCGCCGGGTCTCTGACTCGGCCGTCAAGTCGGCGGTGAAGCCAAGCCGCGCTCCTGCCGCCGCGCCCGGCAGCTCGGTCAAGAGCTACCTGCCCCGGCCGTCCACGGCTTCGGCCGCGCGCGGAGGCGCGGCCAGCACCGGGCCGCGTGCACAGCGCTCAGTGGCAGGTGAGGTGCAGCTGAAGTCCAAACCACTAGCGACTGGCGACTGTGGAATGAGAAGGAAACTAGCTACAACGATGTCTTTGGTGAAGATGGGCAGCTTTCTCTTGCAGCTGGTCAGCTGGTTATTTTCCGGTCAGATTTTATTCTCCGGGACCAATACTAAAATGATAATTCTAACACGTTTCACACTTTGACATGCAGCTGCGTTGTTGGCAATGAGATGTCATAAACATTACACATTCTTGACGCATGTTTTGCTTGCGGTGTGTGCTCAAACCCCGATGAGCTGCCCGCTGACCCGCTCCCGTGTCCGCCAGGCCCTTCGGCGCGCTCTCGTCTCACGTTGGCGGCGCCGCGACTGAACGCGTTCACGCCACAGGCTGCGCACCGCGCGCCGGCCGCGTCGGCCGCCACCGCGAGCAAGGTGGCTCAGCCGAGCCGCCTGAGCGTGGACTCTCAGCGCCGGCTGAGCCGCGGCTCGGGGATCGGCGCCAGTCAGCAGCGGCGTGCCGACCCGCGGCCCGTCTCGGACAGGTCCTACTGGCAGCCGGCCACCCACCGGGTGGTGCAGTTCTTGGCCGACCGCGGCTTCACCGAGAACCGGCCGCCCGTCACCTACAAGGACCTCGTCAAGTGCACCGGCAGAGAATTCGATGACATATTCGCCTTCATATACGGATTTTTGCATCCTGGCTTCACTCTTGCACAGAAGAAAAGGGATGAAGTGGTTAGTGCGTTTTGCAATATTTTTGATGCATTTATATCTTTATCAGGTACATACTAAATGTATGCTACTGCTAGAGGCTGGAACTCGAATATTACCTGCGTAATTGCAGACGAGCGCCGGAAAACCTGAATATTTACGGGCTTCCCAGCTCGGGTTGTAAATGACCCTGTCGTCAACGCGCCTATAACGAACTCAACGTAACACTAAACCTCACCAGCTACGAGCGTCACAGTTCTTCATCCCACGGCGCAATCATCGCTCACCTTCACCAATGACCTTCCCTATTTCAAGTTAAACCATTCGCCCCGGCCTGTTACAGGTGCTGGCAAAAATGAAGATGCTTGGCTACCCCGGTCAGATCACGAAGTCGCACCTGATCACGATCGGATGCATGCACAGCTGGCCGGCTCTGGTGGCCGTGCTCGACTGGATGGCGGACGTGGTGAACCTCGCCTTCGGACCGCCTGGTGACGACACCGATCCACTGCTGATGCTGCTTCCCACAGTCGATAAAGACGGTAGGCGCGCCGACTCGGCTGGTTCTCAGTCGGTGGTGCCATGAAATGGAGCGATTCCGCTGAGTCTAGCAGTTTAACCCTCGCCCATGTAGGGGGGGGGTTGGTGCAACCCCCCCCCCTGAGGTTTTTCGGAAATAGTGCAAAAACGGCGGCGCGCAGCGCCGCCAAATTTTGGGTACCTTATGGGGCAAGCCTTGCGCATCTTTTGATGAAAAAAATTTGACCGGGTCACGTCAGGTCACGGAGTTATGACGTCACAAAGGGAACAGCCTCCGGCCGGATTTTCACAAACTGAGTGCCAACGCCCGAGGTTTCCTGCCGGTGGTACGGAGATCGGTTGATGGATCGTGATGAAACTTCCCATGCATGTTGGGGCAAGTATTGGCTATCATATGGTATAAGAAACTTGACCGGGTCAGGTCAGGTCACGGAGCTATGACGTCACAAGAGGAACAGCGTCCGGTACTATTTTTGAAAAGCGCCCGAACCACTATTTTGCTAATTCTTGTCACCTCAATGGGAATATGCAGCAATATTAGCTTCTATAGGGAGCAAATTGACCTCTCAAATCCAAAAATACAATCAGATTTCAAAAATTTAAATTTTGATTTTTCGAATTTCTGCCGCCGACTGTGACCTTGCCGACTTCCGGCGCTCCCAACGCGCCATTTTTAGAGCTAGGGAAACGAAATACATACCAAACGATAGAGAATTGATCAAGGAACACGATAGTGAAGGTTTCAAGTCGATATCTCCCACCGTTTTGCCGCAATCGCCGCCGAAAGTTGAAAAAAGTCTATTTTTCCGAAAATTTGACCTTTGACCGGTCAAAAGTAGGTCAAATGTTGACCTAGGACCAAAAAATATACCACCAATCGCGAGATCTCGGCGAGAGCAATCCGTTGGTCTTTTCCGCTAAGCTCTACGACGCTCCGTTTTCAAACGCCAAGGGGGGGGGGTCGCACCAACCCCCCCCCTGCATGGGCGAAGGTGGCAGATCGCCGTTTACGGGCGAGGGTTAAGCTGTCTAGAGTGTCATCTTTTTCTAGTAATTTGAGTGAGCGCTGATGACCCTAATGGTGCGCGGAAGGTAGTCCCCTAAAACCAAAGAATCATAATCTTTCCTCGTTTGTAATATGTCGGTGCGTATTTTTGTTTTGCATTGTTTTCGAAAGTCCTTGATATAGCATCTATATTTCTCTTGAAATGCAACCCATTAGCTGCTGCACCAACCAACTCATCACTAGATAATGGTTAACTAGGCGCCTACCAACATTTTTTCTCGCTCTCGACAGGTTTTCCGGAGACGGACCAGCGTTCGCACGTCCTCCTCAAACACAGTCTGCAGGCGTACGACCGCTTCCTCACCAACCAGGAGCGCCCCGTGGAAGAGGATGCCCAGGAGCTGTTCGAGGCTCTCACCTCTCTGCGTACCACGGACCCGGCAGAGCTGCGTAGGATCGAGACTGAAAACCAGGTTTGTGCGCTTGGATGTGAAGTGTGGGGACTGGTGACTGTGAGTGTCATGGTAAGGGGAACCAGGGTAGGTTTCACATGTCTAAACGCACTGAAGTGGGAAGTCAGTGTAGAGTAAAAGTTTATTGGCCCCGGCGATTAAATCACAAGCAAGGTAGGCGACTGCAGAGATGAAACGTTTCCCTATCGTAAGCTTGAAAAAAATAAGTGTCATTCGAATACCTGCTTTTAACATGGTGTTAAGTTTGCATTAAGCCTCTGCCTGGTGTTTGTATACCGTCTCCCTGGATCACCAGCTGACCGTCGTGCGGTCCCACAGCGTCTGCGGCAGGAGCGTCCCGACCTGGCGCGCCTGCAGGAGCAGCTGGACGAGCTGGTGGAGCGCCAGGCGGCGGCCGACACGGACGCCCGACGTCTGTCCGAGTACGTGGCCGGCCGGCGCGAGCAGCAGGCCGAGCGGCTCAAACAGCTCGAGTGGCTGCAGAAGGACGCTCAGGAGCGCGTCCGACTCGCAGAGGTGGGACACGACGGCTCGCAGCGGGGACGATCGGTGGGCGAGGGGTATGAGATGTGCTGACGCGACGGACCAGATTGGGGCGCCTGATCAGACGACGTCTTAGATGTGTGAACTAACCTTCAAGTCAGGCTCGAACGTTTTTGAGAAACAGTCACGCATTTTTCGTTGTATTGAGCGTAAAGCCTCATCGACATTAATTGTCTTTGACTAGTATGCACTTTCAGGGCAAGCTGCATTTTGTTCTTACAGTGACTTGTTTTGTTCCCCTGTGCTCGTTTTTGTTATTGTTCTTAGTCATCTCCTCTAGTCACGGCCACAGCCCCTCCATTTCTTTCCTTATATTCAGTCGTCCCCTCAGTGTTCCATTTTTCAGACTTTTTGGTGGCAAGTCACACCTAATGGGGAAAATACTTTCATCCCTAAAATATGAATGACCGACCTTACTTCATCTCTGAAAAATGTTTCGTGTATTCCCAACAGCCAGTTTACATATCACTTGAGTTGATGCACCCTCATCCTTTTGTTTCACACCATGTCAAGATCCTGACATGAAATCCTGGTTTATCAGTTGGCATAAAGATTGGCATCACACCATTTTGCAAAAATACTCCAGTTATTTACTTCCCTTTTTCTCATCCAAGGATTTTTGTTTCTTCATCGGCACACCCAACCAAAATCCAATTTTAGAACACTGCGTCCCCTGGCCCGTTGCCGTAATCTTCCGCGATTCCACCATATCTCTCCCTCTGATGTTCTCTCTCTCTCTCTCTCTCTCTCTCTCTCTCTCTCTCTCTCTCTCTCTCTCTCTCTCTCTCTCTCTCTCTCTCTCTCTCTCTCTCTCTCTCTCTCTCTCTCTCTCTCTCTCTCTCTCTCTCTCTCTCTCTCTCTCTCTCTCTCTCTCTCTCTCTCTCTCTCTCTCTCTCTCTCTCTCTCTCTCTCTCCTTCTCCCTCTCCCTCTCCCTCTCCCTCTCCCGCTCCCGCTCCCGCTCCCGCTCCCGCTCCCTCCCGACAGCCCCACTGACATCTTCTCCCTCCTATCCGACAGCTGAAACGTGAACAGCTAGACGCGCTCAAAGTGGAGATCAGCCAGCAGCAAATGTCTGCTGAAGATGTGGCCAAGATCGCGCAGCAGCGCTCGGAGATCTGCAAACAAATCGACGATGTCAAGGAAGAAATCGAACAGGTGAGTCACTGGATGGATATCTGTTCAGCTTCTTACGTCATGTATCGGTGTTCCTCTTTAACCGCTCGCGAACATCAGTTTGTGCTCTTGCGCCAGACAGTTCGCCGGACAAACTGTCTGGCGAACTGCATCCAACAGACAGTTTGTCCCGCTGTCGCAGGCCCCGCACAGTTGCTGCCACAACTGCCGGTATCACCTCCCCGCCGGCTCAGCCCACTGACCTTGCCGTCCCGTCGGCAGATGGCCACGGAGAGCGGCGAGATACAGATGGAGTTCGCGCGCTCTCAGTCTCAGCGACAGGCGGCCGTGCGCCGGCTCAACTCGCAGCTGGCGCCGCTGCAGTCGCAGCTGCCCGGAGGCGAGGCCCTCCAGCTGCGACTGACCGGCTCCGAGTCGGACCAGCTGAAGCAGCTGACTGAGTTCGGACACATCATGGAGGGCGTGGAGCGGGCGGCCAGACAGGAGCTGGAGAAACTCAACAGCACGCTGCTGCAGCAGGTGGGGACGGCGCCGGAGACTGAGTTGAGCTCTGATTGGTGTCTAGCGATGGGTTTTTAGGGGTGCAGGCAGACTGCTAAGGTTGCCGAAGGAGTCTGGGACAGGATGAAGGGATTTTATGGTGCAACTTTCACCTAACTTATTAACTTGCTCTTTCTCCTGTTGACAAGGCTGTGGCGTGCATTTTTATCAAATTGTCATTTATCATCGATGTTTTGAAATGCCACCGCACGTCATATAACCCCCTCAGAGGTTAGGCTCGCCATCAAACCCAACCAAATACCACCGGCTCCAACTGACGCTGGCCCGTTATCTCGGCAGGAGCGTCACGCGCGCGAGGCTCGCAGCCGTCTGGAACAGGCTCGGCAGGAGGAGTTTCACGCCTCCAGCCGTCTGAAGCGGCTGGAAGAGGAGGATGCAGCAGACAGACGCCGGCTGCAGCAGCAGCATGCGGCGCTCGACGCGCGCATCGTAGAGGTAGGTGATTCGCCCGGGATTGGACGAGAAAGGGAAAAGGTCTCAGAGTAACAGCGAGAGGAAAGAGTGGGTTGGACGGAGCGGTAAATGATGTCAGTGGACGAGGGTATTACTTTGAGAGACAGTTGTTGGTTGGTCGGTGTCTACTTCACTGTCCAGAGCTGTGACTCTTGACAGCCAAGTTAAGGTGCCTCGGCTGCATCCCCCCTCCTTTCCCCAGGATCCAGGGTCACACGGTGGTCCACAAACTGTGATGTCACGGCTTTCCCAGCGGACCAGCTTACCCCTCTGACTTTACCCTTTCCGCGCCAGGTGGACGAAGAGCTGAGCCGCATCAACCACGAGCTGCAGCAGCTGGACGTGGGAGCACGGCGCGCCCAGCTGGAGGCTGACATCAAACGCTTCAAAGAAGAGACGGCAGAGCGCGAGAAGCGCCTGGCACAGAGGTGGGTGCTCGGGCAGCGAGAACGGAGCGCCGACGCGTCGACATACACCGCGCAGTACCCAGAGGCCAGAATAGAATGGAATAGAACGGGTGTAGTGACAGTAGCGGTACCATAGGGTATTTTGATCCCGGCATTTGTGCTGGGACAGTGGAGAACATAAAGAGCTCCGAGATATAACTGGGTTGAATCATGAATGTGTGTATTACCTAGTACCTACCCATCTAATTCCTGGACCCATGTTGTGATAATGTGTGAGCTAACCAACTCAGGGTCCTGTGCTCTGGTTATTGTTCACATTTACAACTCCCTTAGTCTTATTTGTTATCGGACCCAGTGTCCCAAAATTGTGTTTGGGCTTAGGTGTCAGAGGGGAAGTTCCTCTCCAAAAATGGGGATAAGAGTGGAAAATTGCCAGTCAGATAAGGCCCAAAAAGAGTGAAAAGGGATCAATGGCATAAATTTATGTACAAGTGTGGTAAAATGTAAGATTTAAAAAGACCATCCATGCAAAAGTTTTTGTTGGTAAAATTGGGAGTGGAAAATTGTTCTTAAAAATTAGAGATGAGAGTAAAAATGATTTTTATTTGGATGTAGTTTCCCACCCAAATCACCACATTTTGGGACACTGATCGGACCTGTATCGGACAAATGTGATGTCCCGCTCCAACTGCTCGCTCTTTCTGCAGGCGCTTGCAACTGACCTATGCTCTCAGATCAGATCAGATTTTTCTCGGGGTGTTGGGCTTTGCAACGCCACCCCATCCGTATTATCTTCGTCTGGTATTTTATCGAATCTTGTTCTTCCTCCGATCATTTGTTATTTCTACATCTCATCTAATGGAGTTCTGCCTGCCCCTATATGGTGCTCTGCTGACTTGTGCCACCCCGCACCCGCCAGATCGCAGAAGTTGGCCGAGAACGCCGCGCTGGCTCTGGAGTTCCGCCGTTGGATGGAGGAGGACAATGAACAGCTCGTCCGCTCCATAGCGGGGCTGTGCGCTCAGGCCGACGAGCGTATGCGACGGACCATGGAGCAACACCGTGAACTGCTCGACTCTGCGCTGCAGGACACTTGTAAATAAGTTATCGTCGCACTCACAGGCGGCTCCAGCCGGTGCTGTCTGGTGGTGAGGAGGAGTCTGCAACTGCAGCCCCTACCACACCCTCCCTGAGCGAGAGCAGCAACATTTATCGGGAGCACTGAGATCCCCGAGCGGATCATTGGCATTGTATTGATACTTTAATAAATAAATGGATATAAAATTCATTAACTTATTTGAAATCGGCCACAATGGCGACTCCAGTCAGTGCTCGAAGACGCCAGAGGGGGGGGGGGGGGGGGGCGCAGACGTTGATGGGTATTGGGTGGTCCTTCCATGCACAGTCTTCGCGTAATGTCAAATCAAGTCTCAGTGGGTATCATTGTATCATTGATGTTGTATACGACGGCCCGCTGGTGCCGTCGGTGATTGCCCTTCACAAGAAGAAAAACATTAAGCAAGCTTCTAATAATTCGCAGCGATCGAGCAGAGTATGACAAGCTCACGACATATAAATTTATTGCCTGCACCATTTACACTGTAGCAAACGACAAAATAAACTATAAATAATTAGAACAACGCAGTAATCAGACGAAAGAAACTGCGCAAAAGGTGCAAAGGGGACAAAATATAAGTACAAAATTGAGCAACTTTGTTTAAAATAGTGTGCCATCTAACTGCTCGTGAAAGATGAGTGATATCAGGTACCAAGAATAGCTGCCAAGTCGTACACCGCACACCAACCCAGCGTTCAACGTGAAGAAAGCGCGATAGTTCAACTGCCATTCACTGCGAAAAAAGAGCTGAGCAAACACGCAACAGGAGACCGCTCGTGGACCTTTGGTCGGAATCAAAACAAGACTTGCTAATGACTCGGTAATGGGGTCCATCAGTACAGATTCCGCCGTCGCCGCCCGCTCATCAACGAATGCATTCAGTAGCTGCGGAGCAGGGCATGGAAAGTACTGAGGAGCTAATATGGATTCATCACATAATAATATTACATTTAAAAAGACAAGCACTTTTTGGTAAGTACACCCTGCTTAATGTTGTTAAATCCTCTCAGAGAAAAGTGCGTGCTTTGCAGCGGCCGTGGGCTTAATTTGAAGATGTCTCATCGAAATTTACACAGCTGACGTAGACATTTAAAAAATCAACATTACGTAAAGACGCTCCCACACCAATTTCACTTCATAAGTGATCCGGCACTCACGCTCCAAGGCACACTCACCGCAAGACGTTCTCGCTGTTGATTAAATATACAAGCTCACGTAGCGTTTGTTCGATATCGAGATTCGTTGTCAACATTCCCCGCCCGGACCAAAACTCCAGCTCCACTCAGGAAGCACGGTTCGCTCGGTTATCGTTCGGCGATGTTACCACTCCCTCACAGCACACGGGCCGACATGACGCCGCCGAGCCGTTTATCGCTTCCAGTTCCGAACCGAAAAGGGTGTAATCGCGTAATGTGGACCGGGTCCGCCGCTGGTGGACAGTCGTGCTCACTGTAGGTCGGAGCTCGACAGACTCCTCTGCAGAGGTCAGCCGCGACCAAGTCGCGGAGCTGGATACGCTCCTCTGCAGGGGTCAGCCGCGACCAGACAGTCGCACTCACTGGAACTCGGCGATGGACAGGCTACTCTGCAGGGGTCTGCCGCGACCAGACAGCTGCACTCACTGGAACTCGGCGGTGGAGAGGCTGCTCTGCAGAGGTCGGCCGCGCGTCTCGATCGGCAGCAGCAGACACGCCAGGCCAGCGGTCATCGCCACGAACGCGTACACGATCACGGACGCGAACGGAGAACGGTAGATGAGAACCTGACCGCGACGAGAGAGGGTGGTCACACACCATGGTGGGGTTCGGGTGGGATGTGCACCTTCGGTCAAGTATGCATATAATAAAATACTCGTACAACTTCAATAAACACAACAATAAATGCAGGCACCATGATCTCTGACATTTTAGTGCCATATCATGCAAACCATCACTAGAAGACTTTTGATGATGAAGATGACTTAATATGGATATTGGATAGAATCAACATTCACCATTACAATGAAAGTGACCATCCGTATGGTAGGCATTGAAATACCATCCAGCTTAAAGGTTCATTTCATTCATTCCAAGCCCTGACCAGTCTCCACCACGGAGATTTACCTGCCGTTCCGGAGCTGTGGTCGGGAAGAGGATAGGTCGGTTCAGGAGTAGGCACGGAGTAGGACGGAGCCGCTCCGGACCACCCTACTGCATGACCTTGGAGGTCGGTTTGACACAGAGGACCGCCAGGCCGGCCAGTAGGGAGGTGGCGCTGTACGTGACGGCAGTGTAACGCACCGAGGTGCGGGTGAACTGCGCGTAGGAGCGGGGCGGAGGGTTAGAGGGTAAACTGGGCATAGGAGCGGGGTGGCTAAGAGGGTAAACTGCTCATAGGAGCGGGGCGGTGGGTTAGAGGGTGAACTGGGCATAGTAGCAGGGTGGGTTAGGCGGTGAACTGCACACAGGAGCGGGCCGATGGGTTAGAGGGTAAACTGCGCATAGGAGCGGGGTGGTGGGTAAGAGGGTAAACTGGACATAGGAGCGGGTCGGCGGGTTAGGGGGTAAACTACGCATAGTAGCGGGGTCAGGTGGGTAAGGGGTAAATTGCGCATAGGAGCGGGCCGGTGGGTCAGGGGGTAAACTGTGCATGGGAGCGGGGCGCGGCCGGTGGGTAAGAGGGTAAACTGTGCATGGGAGCGGGTCGGCGGGTTAGGGTGTAAACTACGCATAGGAGCGGGGTCAGGTGGGTAAGGGGCAAATTGCGCATAGGAGCGGGCCAGTGGGTTAGGGGGTAAAGTGTGCACAGGAGCGGGGTGGGTAAGATGGTAAACTACGCATAGGAGCAAAGAGGGTGGGTTAGACATAGATGATTGACTGTGAGGGGATCAGTGGAGGTAGGAGAAAATGGAACACGAATTATACGAGGCGACATAGGAGGTGAAATTACTAGGCACGGATTAGTAGTTAACGGGTAACTTAATCGGGCAATAACCAGGAATGAGTTAGACAAAGACCATTACAAGACGACGCTAGGGTGAGTTAGATGGAAAACTGGTCACAGGGCAACGACTGAGTCTGAGAGTTAATCACGACCCACACTCTGAGGTCACACGACTCGTACCTGAGCTATGAGCGGGGTCAGCATGGCGCCCAGTCGGGCAAAGCCGCTGCAGGAGCCGACGCCGATCGACCGCAGCGTGGTCGGGTACACCTGGTGGTGCGGGAAAACACCTAAGCTAGATGGCTAGTCGCAAACACACGGGGGAAAGGACACAAAGTACTGACTGGGGCCGAGATTTACACAAACTAACAAGTTTGCAACTGAATCTAGACTTCAACGTAAAACTATAGTCCATTTTTTTTCAAAAGGCTCATGGCCCGAAGTATTATTTTGGAGTTAGCACGTGCGGGACGCTAGAAAATAACGCAAGCCGAGATGAATTTCTCGGCCATTTTTGAAAGATAACCGCAGTGCTACGGAACGAGTTGTTCAGTTGAGCTTATATTCTGTGTCACGTTTCAAAATGTTTGTAAATTCATAGATTTGAGCCATTCTGTTAATTTTGCATGCTAATGTAACGTCACTCCTGTAGTAGCCTTGATTCCACAGCCAGCCCATCACTTGAGAAACTAGCAAGCGGCAAATCTTTAAACAATCAAGACAGAACAATGATTTTTGCTAATATATTCTGTCGGGGGACAGAATTCTGAACGGCAGGCTCATGGAAAACATGTGTCAACCGCTGAAGTTGGTGACGCTCTATATTGTTGTCTTACATTGTGTTTTCGCATGCTACGTAGAAACTTCGGTCGTCTTTTTAAAAACTCCTTCCACAGACTTTTTCCCAATGCAGAAATCGATCGGTCAGTATTGTAATAGGTCGGCAGATATGCTGGCGCATGTTTCTTTTTGTACTTTACCAGGAAATAAATTTAAAACAAAATGTCAATCCGTGTGTTATTTTTGTAGGCCTGCAAACAGGTCATCCACGTGATCATTTTAATCATTTGTTTAGTGCCTATGGCTAGACCCCGTGTGGAAGCATTTTCGATTCACAGTTCCTCATTATGGGTCTTATGTCCATACCACGGTCCATACTTTATCGCAAATCAGAGACCAGCCGACCAGTGGACCAGTCTGATTTCGAAACGTGCCAAGCCGGTGTTCGTTGATTTTTGTCAAAACCACCACTTTGCACGTGACAATTCTAAAATCTAATTTCGGGCCGTGCGCCTTTTGAAATAAAGTGGACTATAGGTGTTCAGTTCACCCTCGTTCGATCATGACCACAAATACTGATATGATTCACGAAAAAAACTAAGTCATCAAACATAAAACAATAAGTGATGAAAATTTCTGATTTCTGATCAATATAACGAACTCAGTAGCTTCACGCAGATACCAAAGTGACGCCCACCAATCTGTTGCAAGCGAGCTGGCGCCATACCTCCGGAGTGTAGACGTAGGCGGCTTGGAACATGCCGGCGATCATCCCCCGACACACGAACAGAGTTACGGTAAGCACGGCACGGCTGTGAACGGAACGGGAATCGGTCAATCCGAGAGTAGGCAAGGTGTGTTTAGAGCGGGTCCACGTCAAAACAGCTAGTGACTATTGAGCTAGTGACTTTTGAGCTAGTACAAAAGAGCTAGTGCTTCAAAACAGCTAGTGACAAAACAGCTAACGCTAAAATAGCTAGTAATGTAAAACAGCTAGTGACAAAACAGCTAGCGTCAATATAGCTAGTAGAGCAAAACAGCTAGTGCTTCATTATAGCTAGTGACAAAATCGCTAGCGTCGAAATAACCAATGAAGCAAAATAGCTGATGCGTACAAGTGCGAGCAGCTATCATAGATTCTTTCCCGACAAGTCATTAGATTCTTTCCCGACGACGAGACCCGACGGGTAGGAGCAGAAGAGCACCGTTGTTTGACAAAATTATTTGGAATGTTAGAAGTAGGACAGAGGAGGGATCCCTAGGACAAACACAAATTAGAAGCGTGGCACCGGGGAATTCAAGGCATGTTTGACTCATCGTAAAAATCTCATTAATGAGATTTTTTACCGCCATCCAAAAAGAACAAAATCTTCAAGCATCTGATCTTGTGAAATTCAAAAGTGGCCAGGATGTTCAAAAACAAAAGAAAACATGTGCAGAGACAATAGACATGAATACCAGATTAGTCACTCCACTGAGACGCCACAAGGAAGGCATTGTTAGCAAAGAAGAATTCAATCGGGGAGTAGGTTTCAACATCACTTTGAATGTTTGAGATGGCATATCGCGGGAAATACATATTTACAGTCACAGATATCTTACATTTTCGAAGCGAAGTGAATGGGAAGGGAACAGAGGTCCAACGAAATAGCTGTTTTGACGATAGCTGTTTCGTCACTAGCTGTTTCGAGGCACTAGCTCTTTTGCTTCACTAGCTACTTTGACGCTAGCTGTCTTGTCACTAGCTGTTTTAAAACACTAGCTATTTTAACGCTAGCTGTTTTGTCACTAGCTGTTTTGAGGCACTAGCTGTTTTGTACTAGCTCAAAAGTCACTAGCTCAAATGTCACTAGCTATTCTGACGTGCACCCGTTTAGAGCAAACGGTACGGTAATTGAAATCATGACATTGATGTCAAAAATCGTTATTCAGTGAAAGAGCAGTTGGGAGATGGTAATTCTTACTTCTTATAAAAAAAAATGCGTGATCAGGTACAACGTGAAAATAATTGGTATTGCATTACACCTTTCTAGCAATTACAAATGAACATTTCTTGGCTGCTTAGAGTGATGAATATCACATAAACAAAAACAAAAACAAGTTCACCCAGCCGTCCTCACCTCTTTACGCAGAAGAACAGGGTCAGGATGGCCAGAGTGTAGATGAAAAACTCGGTCGCCATCGTTTTCTTTCGCCCGAACTTCTCGATGATCAGTAGCGTGAAGAATATTCCTAGAGACGCGAAAACAATATAAATGGTACACCCATCTTCAACTTTATTAGCTGAAGGCAGAACATTCACACTTGTCATGCTTTTTCTTTGTTTTACACAGAACTATCCAACTGTTTTAGCAGTAGATCCCATAATGGCACCGGTACAACTGACAGCACACAGCCTCGAGCACATAAAAGACGGCAGGACTCGGCAGCTGTGTGCACCCGTACCTGGGAACTCCGCCAGTGTGGTCCAGAGCAGGTCAATGTAGTCCTCCTGCTGGAGTGGCTTACACGACGCCTGACATACCTGCAGTGAGAGAGACAAATGGTAAGCACGGACAGACGTCAAACGGTGAAAAATGGCAAATGGTGAGCATAAACGAACGGTGAGCGGCTTACAAGACGCCTGACATACCTGCAGTGAGAGAGACAAAATGGTTAGCACGGACAGACGTCAAACGGTGAGAAATGACAAATGGTGAGCACAAGCGAATGGTGAGCGGCTTACAAGACGCCTGACATACCTGCAGTGAGAGAGACAAAATGGTTAGCACGGACAGACGTCAAACGGTGAGAAATGACAAATGGTGAGCACAGGCGAATGGTGAGCGGCTTACACGACGCCTGACATACCTGCAGTGAGTGAGACAAATGGTAAGCACGGACAGACGTCAAACGGTGAGAAATGACAAATGGCGAGCACAAACGAATGGTGAGCGGCTTACACGGCGCCTGACATACCTGCAGTGAGTGAGACAAATGGTAAGCACGGACAGACGTCAAACGGTGAGAAATGACAAATGGCGAGCACAAACGAATAGTGAGCGGCTTACACGGCGCCTGACATACCTGCAGTGAGAGAGACAAAATGGTTAGCACGGACAGACGTCAAACGGTGAGAAATGACAAATGGTGAGCACAAGCGAATGGTGAGCGGCTTACACGACGCCTGACATACCTGCAGTGAGTGAGACAAATGGTAAGCACGGACAGACGTCAAACGGTGAGAAATGACAAATGGCGAGCACAAACGAATGGTGAGCGGCTTACACGGCGCCTGACATACCTGCAGTGAGTGAGACAAATGGTAAGAACCGATACTGACAGCAGTGTGCAGTGTGCACTGACAAAACAGACGCCAAAATGGTGAGCAATGTAAGAACTTGTGTGAGCTTACCCGGCTACTTTAAATAGTTCACAGAAATGAGTTACCTTATGGTACTTAGCTATGACAAAGCACCAGATTGGCACGTGTGTCTAATGGAAGTACCAAACAGAAAAGAGGTTACCCACCTCGGCTCCCTCCCATCCCTGCGGCGCACTGCACAGATCTTCCTCGGATAGTTCAAACAGCTCCGTGGTCATCAGGACGATGCCGTAGTAGCAGAACGCGCTGGCCCACCTGCCGGCAGAGGGCGGCCTTCAGACGACAACGTAACTTCCTACAACTTCAGACGGCTAGCGACAGCACAAAATTAGCATAATGTCGCGACCACCCCTCCATCAAGGCTGGTGCTTCTCCCAGTCGTCGGTGCACACATGCAAATACACAACCGGTTTCGATGCGGATCTGTCTAGTGCCTACCTCTACCATGATGTATAATTCAAGAGATGGCGGGTTCAAGGAAGGTTCAGAGGTTAAAAATAGCCGACAGTATGCTGCCGTATCCTGCATAATGGGCGAGACAGCCGTATGCTGCAGACTGGAGGCTCTCGGCGTACATGGGGTGCTACGGCTATGTCGTGCATGGGGTGCAACGGCTATGTCGTGCATGGGATTGGGGTGCAACGGCTATGCCGTGCTAGGTAGATCGGGCCTTTGAACAATACCCCTCTACCAACGCTGGATCCAAACATCCCGGTGCACATTATAATATATCGTTTGGATAAAGTATATCGTCCTCGCGTTGTTAACTACTTGTTTCATGCCGAAAGTACAATTTGACGAGAAAAAAAAAACAAAGGCCGTAAAAATAATATCATGAAGGTCATGTAAAGACGTGTCATGAAATAACAGTAACAATTGTCGGTCGCTTAAAAAAAAAAAAAAAAAAAAAACGCTAAGCCGGTCCTGTCACCATATCAACCCCGCGCCGCGCTCACCATCGTCAACCTCGCACCCCTCTCACCATATCCACCCGACGCCCGCTCACCATATGAACCAGAGCAGCAGTGTGGTGGTGCGCAGCTCGGGCACCAGCAGGTCGCTGAGCGCTCCGCGCCGCACTGTGCTCACGTCATCTACGATCAGCCGGCCGAGCAGCATCGGCTTGCCGTTGTCGTCTGCCATCCGTTTGAGGGTGCTCAGCGCGCGCTCTGACTGACCGCTCGCCGCGTGAAACCGCGCGCTCTCCGGAAGCCACTGTGGTGTAAAAGATATTATGTCATAGAATTATATGGGTCATAGATGGGTCATCGCGGGATTACTGTCATACCACTGGCAGACACGGGGAGGTCACAGGGGTCACTGGCAGACATGAGGTCACAGGGGTTAGTGGCGGACCCCTTGAGGCATTGACTGTAATGACTATTGACTATGTCCGAAAACTATCGCAGTCTGTCTCTCCGACCGCACATGGCATTTTGTGTGCTGCTGCTATAGCTGCTGCCACAGACCACAGCAAACTGCCTGGCCCGACCGCGCATGATATTTGTAGCAACCTTTGCCATAGCTACCTCTACAGATGTTGTCATACGAAACGGCCACCCTGTCCACCCGAACCCACTCACCGGACATATGAGGGTGAACAGCAGTAGAGGCAGTGACGAGAGGCCCAGCAGCCACTTCCAGCCCAGTGTGGGCATCACAAACAGGGCCAGCAGCACCTCCATACAGGCTCCCAGCGCCCAGAAACACTGCTCGTACACACCGGAATAGGGGGCTTTGTTAGCGCTGGATGGGCTAAACTATAATAAGTAGCGAGAGTTCTGCAAAGAAACCATTAGTGATGTATGGCCCGGCAATATATTACAACTCAGGACTTGTGAAGTAAAAATTTAACGACGCTACTAAAAAAAAAACGAGATGGGTCTAATGAGTATCAAATAGGAAATATGTACATCAGTGATTACTAGACATACGGAAATTTCCTAGCGTCGCAACATGTATTTCGACGAGTGGAAGGAAATATCCTGTGAGATATCGGTCGCAGATTGTCAAGAATGCTGCGTGGGTATCATCGATAAAATATTAAACCAGAGAACATCGCCCACGAAACACTGCGATCACAGTCTTCATCAGTGCCATTCGCACAACTGATACAGCAGGTGCAGTTGCACCCAAGTAATGCCTAGTGGAAATCGAAACAAGCTTTCCTCCAAATGTATTTCCGGACAGAATGTATTGACTCACCTCCAATAAAATAACGCACTTTCCTCGCTGCTTCACGGGCAAGTACTCAGCGTATAGTGTAACACTGAAAACAGACCAAAACACTAAAGCGTGCAAAATGTGCTCCAACTTATGATACACAATTGAAAACGTATTCGGTGATCGGGTGCTTCGTAAAGGAAATACACGAGCATGAATGTGCTCAACAAGAAGCATGCAGGCAAAACGAACAAAATTGTCTGAAATATACGAAACACATCTATTTACAACTAACAAATAGTCCACACAAAAACAAAATCAAACCTCCTTCACACATGCAGCTAAAAAAAAAAAAAACATTTTAAGCCACATCAAATCCAAAATGGATAAAACAAAAGCCCCACTGGGTGATCCTCCACGACCCATATTCTGTCCTCTTTGCGGAACGAGAGATTCTCCTCTCTTCGAGAATAAGGCAAGGGTGGTACTCACGCCTGAGGTATGGCTCCGACGCAGAAGCCGACCAGACCCCGCAGCAGCAGCAGCCAGACATAGGTAGGCGCAAATGCTGACAGGAAGCCATAGAAGAACAAGAACGAGCCGGACAATACCAGCGTCTGTTCAAACACGGAAGAGAGTGAGAGGGCGAAAACACAACGCACGGGGAATAGATGAGCAGTTTGGGCAGGCGACTCATTGAAGTTCATACCGCATAGCCTCATCTGAGTTGGATACTACTGAGCAAAATGCGAGACCGAAGAGCTACCTGCGTGGTATAGGTATGTGCTCGATCGGCGTACGTAAACATACTTTTGTAATAATTATCAGCGCACTCGCTTAGAAAATGTCATTTCTCTGCACGGACCAGGATCTGGTTATCTATCCTTGTTTTCGACCTCACTCTACACAGTCACCCCGAGTCGTACCGTTTTCCGTCCGTACTTGTCGCTGAATTTTCCCCAAAATGGCGAGCTGAGCATCATGCCGAGGAAGACGACAGTGGTGATGAACGCCTGACGCCACTCGGATATGCGCCACGTGCACTGGACGGCCGGGGACAGGATAGAGAGGATCATCATCTCCATCGAGTCGGCCATCCAGCAGAGGCCCGTGATGAGCGAGAGGCGCACTTGGAAGCGTCCGAAGCCGATGGCGTTCACCGCCTGGTCCACGGTGAACGTGTCTGTGAGAGAGATGGGTTGCAGTTAGATCGGTGGACGAGCGATGGTGGGGCGAAACGGGGGCCCCAGTGACGATTGCAACGGCAGAACTGTTAGGACGCCTAAGACCTTTATATAACAGCGCTATACTGTGTGATCAATCTTGATTGGGCCGAAAGTAGACAGGTTGGCAGATAGGTACACAGCCCAGTGGAGTGGGGAAGTTATGTGAATCGAGCTCAGCATAACACATTCGAATGTCATCGGGGATAACTATCGGGCGTATATAGAGGCACTCGCAACAAGACAATTACGATTGAAACAAACGTAGAGAAAAATAATACATGCGAACAACCACCAAACAATGCAATGACATCGAAATCATTAGCAAAGGATAAGCATAAAAATGACGTCTGAAAACATACCCAAGAACAATAATCCTCAAAATATACGCATCCAACAATAATTGTATCGTCCTAAGCAGCTACAAAACATTTTGTTGGCCAGCCATCTCAACTTTGGTCTACAAGAAACCGTCATATCCTCCCCTAGTATTTTACTGGCCACTAATCTCTACCCCTGCCCTCTACCACCCCTTCCCCTGCGATACTAACCATCAGGCACAACGCCGGCGGTGGATGCGGTCATCTCGAGCTCATCGCCGGGATCCCGCACGCCGCGCACCTGGCTGAGCAGCGAGCCCGGCGCTACGCTACCCGCCAGAGACGACAGGTCCTCATAGCCGCTGCCCGAGCTGGACGAGCGGATGCGCGGCATCGCTGGGCCGGTGGGACGCTACGCTGGCATTGTGAAACCTGGGGCAGTGTGGGGAAGGGCTGGTGAGACTAGAGACACAAGGTGTCTGAAGAAGAAAGTGTGTTATGTTGGAAATGATCTGCAGCTGTGATTACTATTTAGTATTTGGGTAGGTATGCTGAGCTGGGCACATTTTAATAATAACATCGCTTAAGTTTGTGCAAGATACTTAATCTCATACAGAGCATTCAAGTGGACTACCATTACATACACCTACCATTGCAGAAGAAAACAAGGTAAGAAACCAGGTTGACAGTCACAGGCCATCACTGCAGGTGCACTGATAGGTTATCAGTTGAGAATCTTATCATTTTCCTCTCAGGCCTAAGTATGCAGTGATGTGGTTCAATTCCCCTCAACCTTGGGCACAATTATAAGGCCCAGTTCTTTCAGTGGAGCAGACCAGACAGCAGAGCGCTGTTCGGCGGCCGGCTAGCGCGCTAGCCCGCGCACACATACGTGCACGTTGCCCCGGCAACGGGCTATTGACCAATGAGAAGTGCGCTACGGGGGGCACAGGTATATGAAAAATCGCAGTGACGTTGCACTTTCCTCGCTTCTCATTGGTCAATAGCCCGTTGCCGGGGCAACCAGCACGCATATGAGCGCCGGCAAGAGTACTAGCCGGCCCCCGATCAGGGCCAAGAGAACTCACAGGTAGCCTACCCAGCCGATGAGTCATGACAAACATCCAACACCTTCCAACACAGAATACTCAAAGCTAGTTAAAAGTTAAAACATTGGTCATTTTTCATCTGCTATGCATACAGAGAATCAATGCATTATCTTTCCATCAAAACATTAATTTTTAAATTAATTGTAACATTTCATCATTCTTTTCCTGAAAGACAGCACTTCTATCAATACCTTTATTTTCTACTGCACTGTGGCAGCAACACAAAACAAAAAAAGAAGATTCTGGAATTAGGAAAGATTGGAGAACTACAGGTATGTTCCATTGATTCCTCAAACTTGATCATCAACAGGCTCATCTAACCTCCTCTCATTAAAAAAAAATTGTTTGTCACTACTCGAAACTCCCCCAAGCTCATCCCCATTCCACATCTCACCACCACTATTTGCCTTCTCCCTCATCCCAAACAAATGTTGGATTTTTGGATGAGGATCTGCATAGTGCATGGACATATTATGACGCACATTATTCAAACTTGAATTAATTTGCAAGATTGAGCATTACGGAAATGATTGTGGGGACTGGTGGGGACTGAGGGTGACAATATTCATTTTTAGCAATTTTCCATATATATCTGCTTTTTATTTGAAAGAAATTTTATCTCAATCTCAGTCAATGCTAACACACCATCAACACCACCCATTACATCCTGAAAACAGCTTAGTTCCTCACAGAAATGTTTATGAGGCTCCTCTAGAATGGCTCTCCTCGAAGCTCATCCTGCCTCAGAGGTTTTTATTTTACATTTACCACTGGAACAGACCCAATAATAAAAATCACAAATTTACTTGCATAATAGCCAAGATGACTACACCTTTTTCCTTCAGTTTGAAAAAGTAGGAGTTCAATTTCAAAAAGATGCACTACTTTTTTTCTAAATTTAGTTCGAATGTTTGAATGGACGGATTGACAGAGCCGAAGCCCACGCTAAGCAGAGCTTGTTGCGTAGACCCCGACCCCTACCGACTACCGTCCGATCGCGCAATTCCGGGCATCAGGAGAATTTAGATGCCAAAGTTTAACGTGCCCTTCAAAGCCGGACACGGCCTGTCCCACTCAACTGACTTCAACTGGCTGCGGCTGCTCCCACCAACCGCAGACCATCCCCGTCAGGAGTCTCAAATATCGAGCGCCGGAGCGTCTCGAACCCGGGCTCTCACTACCGGGAGTCCAATGCTCTATCAACTGAGCTACGGGACAGGCGAAATTGAAAGATTTCATTTAAATTGAATGGCAATTGGCACATGTCTGAAATTACAGTGTGCCTTTTCAAATTGAAGCAAAACAGGTGTAGATGACATGACATGCTATTGACCTGGTGAGTTCAGTAGATATAACACAAAATTAAAGGCATAGTAAGCATAATGATGTGATAATAATTAGATTGTAATGGTCGATTGCAATTTGAATTGTGATCGCTGGCTCAGCGATCTAGATCTAACCTCTCTAACCTCCAGCGACACCACTGACACTGGGCCTGGAAACTCCAATTTAAAATTAAATGATTACCTTTTCACATGAATGATGTTTATGAATATTTTCAATGACAGATGAGCTACTGTTTAATATCTTGATTCATGAATAACAGCAATTTTATCAAAATTTTCCACGAGAATTTGTTGCACCGTGCAAGCACCGTTTATTCACACACTGACACCACAAGAAAAAATATAACATTTACACGGGTCAGGGAAAACGGCGCACGAGTGACATAATTTGGCAGCAAGGCATAGCGGGAAAATTCTTCACCAAGCACAAAGTTTTTTCCTCCTGAATCACTCCGATTGGCATTCAGATATCTATGCCATGGATGAAAGAACCTGGATAGGAAACTCCTATTCCTTCAACATTGGGCCTGTTCCAGCGCCTCCAGAAACCTCCAGAAAGCTCCAGAAAGCTCTAGAATTCTCCAGAGAGCGTTCCAGCGCCTCCAGAAAGCTCCAGAAAGCTCTCGCCAAAGCTCCAGAAACCTCCAGTAGCCTCCAGAGAGTTGAGAGGTCCAAATTTCTCTGGAGGCTCTGGTCTACAATTATGGCGCACATGTGACAATCACGAATGTAAACAAAGGACATTTGACTGATAATTTTACAACTTGAATGTAAAGAAAATTACATTGCTATAATTTTATTTATCTTTTTAACTAAAATTGAAAACAAATTTTGCGTTTCAAGAGAGAACAATCGTCATTCTTTTGGTATCTATGACACCAATCTCCAGAAATCTCCAGATTGCGTTCCAGCGCCTCCAGTAAAACCTCTGGTAGAGCCTCCAGTCAAGAATTTATTCTGGAGGCGCTGGAACAGGCCCATTACGGGCAGCGTTCCGGGCGATCGACCTGCCACCTAGCGTTCGGTAAGTATCGGGACTGGAAACTCCCGCCGTTAAGCATTACGGCCTATGGGGGACGCGGGGCGGCATGTTTTGAAACGGGTATTAGACCGCAATGCGGATTTATTTTTTAGGTTTAGAAGCTATATACGACAGACAAAATTGATCAGGCTATCGAATGAGACCAAAACTATTATTGTCCGTTCCGCACAAAAGTCGTACACGAGGGCCGAATACAGGCGACCTTGAAAAAGAGGGCCATTTCTAGTGTTTTTCTCTTACGCGGCGCCGGTGAACGCTTACGCGGCGCCAGTGAATGCGCGGCAGACGCGGCTCCCGCTGCCGCCGCGCGTGCCCTCGGGCACTTACCGAAGGGAACGCAATCAGCTGTTAGTTTCCAATCCAGGTTCTCCTTCATCCATGTCTATGCATTCAGCATACGCCTCCAGCAGGCTGCAGCAGACAGCAGTTGACGAACTTTAGATAGAAACATGCTAGATCACTGAAAAGTAGAATACTTAGGATGCCGGATGCGTTCGCCGTTCAGCTTCGCGATACGAAACTGATGTGCAACATGACATTTTCTGTGACCTTGACCCGAGGTCAAATTCCTAATTTGACCTTTTCAGGTCAACTTATAGCTTATTCGGCGTGTGTCGACGAGAGAAACGCGATGCTGGTAACTAATCAACGTGACTTACAAGCTTGACGTCAAAAGTTATTACAGAAAAAAAAACGTTTTCCCAAAAACGTCAGATTGTGAGTTTTCGTGCCCTCTGGAGGCTGAACCGTTGAACGTAGGTGAAATGTGAAAGCATTAGGCTCAGAAAGAACTTTTAAACAGCTAGTCGAATGCGCTTTTCCGCGGTGCTCTAGCTCTATTGGTTCCGAATTATACGCCGATTTTTGAAAAGCTGTCAAAATACGGAACCAATTTCGTAACAAATTTACTTTCGACCTCCGGTGACCTCAGTGATTACCTGATCGAAAAATGACCTATACAAGCTACGATTCTGAAAGATCGTATACCGAGCTATCTATTCACTATTGCTTTTTTAATCTTTCTAGCTTTTTTGCTTTCCGATATAACCTGGTATGGCCAAATACCTACCAGGTTTCCCCAATAACCCCCAACGCCCCCAAACCAAACAAAGTGGCCAAACAATACCCCCCCCCCCACCATGGCGAAGTCGGCTGACAGGTCCACCCGGGCGCGGGTTAACCCGCAAGTTGCTGTGGGGGGGGGGGGGCGTTAATTAAACGCCCCCACTTTTTCGCCGGGCCATAGCATAAAAACGGCGCGCCGCAGGCGCACCAAATTTTGGATACCTGTAGGGAATTGATTTAAGTTTATTGTGACAAAGTTTTTAAAAAAAGTCAGTCAGGAATTTTTTGAGATATCGAGGTTTTAGTGACGTCATGATTTCTGAGTTTTCGACCAAAAACGGCATATGTTCAAAAAATAATATAAAATCGCAGAATAGACATACAGACATGCCGTAAACGCCATTAGACTGCCAATACCATGAACAATCAAATAGCTATCTTCGATTATTGATTATCGTTCCGCATTTTCCAAAAGCTTGAACTGAATCTTGGGAATTTCTCGTGACTACTTCACGAGTCACGACCATGACACATGTATTTCTTAAATTGAACTTTTTGAGCCAAACACGTACACATATGATAAAATGAATGTCACCATCGTGTTCTACGACCCAAATTACCCATGAAACATGTGTCACAGGCTGCGAATATCAGTTTTGCTTTCCGGGGATAGATATGTGCTTACACGGTTGACCTGACCTTGACCCTGACCTATGCTTGACTGACCCCTAAATGGAGTTGACACTCTTGTAGGCCTTATATGATGGATTATGCACCGTTTTGACAGAGTTTATGACGAGAGGCGCCCATTGCGAAGTCCTGAAGTCCATGCTACTGAAAGCCCGATTTCAGGTGTTTGACCTGACCTTGACCCGACCTGTGACCTCAAAATTCAACTTTAAAGTACTCACCTGAAGCGTCTCGTCGCGTTCTTTCGTTTGCCGCCTCGTGCGTTTCGCTGCGCCTATTGGTTCTCGAGTTATCGGCTGGGGGCGTTTAACGCCCCCTCCCCCACAGCAAACGGTGGGTGGCGAAATACCCCAGCAACTGCCGGGTTAATGGATCGGAAATAAATGATGGATTGACTGATGGATTGATATCGTAACCATCCAAAGCGTGTCCCAAGAAATCAATCAAACACAAATCTGCAACAGCGCACTGAAAGACTAAATAAGACAGGCGTGCGTCGCGGTACCGGAGTTAACAAATCCAAGTCTCTCAGGGCCCCTAAACGACCAGCCTTGGCCACCCCTGTGGTTCCATGTGTAGTGATGCCGTGTGATCCCGTGGCACCCATGCGAAAATCTGGGTCACGACCACGTTTAGCGGCACTATGACCTTGGCAATCACGGGGAGTTCACACTTCACGGGAAGAACGATCGTAAATATTTAGGTACTTCATACCTCCTCATACACGATGGAGAATATCTATAATACAAATATTGAGGGTATAACTAAGGCGTGGATGAGTTAAAAATGAGAAATGGGAATACCACAAAAACGTGAAGAAATGGAAAGGTGGGGACTTAGAGGTATGGAAAGTTTATTTGATTGCTTCAAACGGCGAGCATTTATTTAAGAGAAATCATTGCAGTTTTATGAAAATTTGAGTTGAATCATTATTGATTCAGATTAATGCCTGTACCTAAAGAGAACGATTGGATGCTTGAATTTAATTTATTTACCTAGCATTCATAGGCAACGAATGTGTTTGTTCTTTATGAAACGGCAACCTACCAGGTTGCGTGTCCCAAGAAATCAATCAAACACAAATCTGCAACAGCGCACTGAAAGACTAAATAAGACAGGCGTGCGTCGCGGTACCGATTTGGCGAGCGCCAAATCGGTACCGCGCCGGGGTACTTTGGATCTTACTTTCTTTGGTACGATTTCGAGTCATAGGTAATTTTCATAGACTCGTAGTCCATAATATTTATGCAGTCATCGTCCTATAAATATCAGTCCGCAGCCCATAATATTTATAGCCTTGCTAGCAACCGAAGCAGTTCAGGCTGCTTGCAGGGCCACTGGGAGAGGGCCATTTATGACACTTTGCACACGACTGGACGATTAAAGATAGTTTTACATCGAGTAGTAGGCATTACAATAAATCGGCTATTACATACATATATATGATTTTCGACCTCTTCAAAGTAAAACATTTGGCAACGACATTTACGGTTCGTAGTTCGAAATAAGTGCATAGGAACTCGTTCTAGGCTGATCATATTTCACTCTAATGGGCGGCTGCCCGGAAAGGTTGAGATGCACGTCACACCTACCTCAACACTATCTCAGTCTCCCCGACAGCTGGCCGGCCGCTGCCTGTCAAATCTCCCACCTGAACTGTTTCTAGCTGTTTGTCAAGGTCACCGCGTCAGTTACGGTCCGTCCGACCGTGTCAGCGCGGCCACGGCCCACCTTCGAGGCCAGGCGGGCCCCCGGGCGGCTGCGGCCGCTGCCGAGTCGGTCCCGCAACACCTACCTACATACTAACACGGACCGGCCCAGAAGGTCTGTGAGGCCGGTGGGCGGCGGGCGCCAGTAAGCGAGCCGCACGACGCACGGGCTGACCGGTCTGAGGGCCAGTGCGAAGCAGTGCGCGCGGTGCACCGATGTGAACTGGATACTACGCCGCAGAGGAGTCTGGAACAGGTGAGTGGCTCCATATCGCGGGCAGCGCAGAGACGGCGATCCGATGCTCATTTTTCTCATCATGCTGAATAAAATTGGAGATAAAAGGGCGCCCAAGCAGCTGTGTTGAGTGCACTGTTGAGTCCGCCCAGGCGCTTGTGAGATACGTGCTATCAATAGTTTTATTTTGAGTGCCGAACACACGATCTTATGGCTTCTTACCTCTCTTCTAAAGCACCAGATGTTGAAAATGTTCACCCTCGTCAATAGTTATTGGTATTTGACATTTGGTGTTCCAGATAAATGAAGGGGTAAAATTATCTCTGTCTGAAGTTCTTTTTTTGTAATAAGCTCAATCAGATTCCAAAACAGCTGTTGGTATAATTTTTGAAGAAAAAAAGTCAAATGAAGTGCATCGCATCATCTGAATCTCTTGTACGGCCAATAACAATTCATCTCAAATATGCCTTTCGTAACGCTAATATATTTGGCGAATCTCGAAAGATAAATGCCTACAGCTTTTACCACATAACTTTCAAAACGTGTTCGAAGATGTTATGTATGTTTTACGAATGACTTCAAATTCGTGATGTGTCTTACCTTCTAACGCTGGCTACATGAGGAGGATTCCAAAGAATCTCGTATGCTAGTGCCTTTTCAGTATTCAGTTGAGGTTTTCCCGTCATAGGTACGCCACTAACATGCAAGATTCAGGCAAAAACAGGAAAAGGAAACCTCTCTCTATACCAGGTTCTGTCTTGCATGATTCAGCGTTCATCCCGGCCCCGTTTGCATAGTGCAAACGCGTCATTATGTCAAGGCCCTGCTCAATAGAGCAAGGATGGCCGTCGACGAATCTCTCGCGTGATTTCGACCTGCTGCATGGGTAAAAGCTACTGACAATGGCGAAATAACAGTACCGAAGCTTTTTGTAGCTGCAGAGACATTACCGTTCCACAAAAGAATAAGGTAAATGAGGTGTTTTCTACTTCACTGGACTATAGGTTCTCAGGCAGTCGGCACCGAACTTGAACCAATATAAGAAAGCTTCAAGCATATGACTTTACTAACGCATTTCCTTTGTCAGCAGCTACCAAGCGGCATGTTATCCCTCGCACAGATGCGGGGGAGGGCGTTTTTGGCCACACCTACCAGTTTTTTTGCGTGTGCGTCTGTAAAGAAAACCACGGAGCGCAGCGCCGCGAGACTTAAATACAGCTTGATACATCAAGTCCGCATCGTGTGTGAAACTTTTTGACCCCAGGTCACATAGGGTCAGGTCATCAGGTCAAGTTAGATGACTACCTATGCCTCCAAAAATCGTCATTCTGTCATCCCTACAGTTTATCTCCTAGAAGCTTGGAACTCAAAGAATTGTATCAAAGACAAAGGACCAATAATTAACATATTTCGGAATTTTGATATCGTTGACCTAAGGTCAGGTCAATTTTGCGACCTATCCATTGTAAGTTAACCTTCGCCCTGGTGGGGGGGGGCCATTTTGGCCCCCCCCCTGTGGTTTTTCAGCGATAACTCAGAAACCACTTGAGTTAGCGCCCTGAAACTTTGTATAGCTGTTTATTCAACATTTTTACATCATGTCCTTTTTTTGGGGGTTCGGGTCAGGTCAGGTCAGGTCACAAGGTCACCAAAACTGACACCACCTCTAAAAAAGTTCAAAGCTCTCTCAAAGGCACAGCTTTTATCCGATCGATGTAAAATTTACAGTACTTGAAGATGTCACCCAGCTCTACAAAATGGCTATCTCGGATTTTTTATAAATGTGACCTAAGGTCAGGTCAGGTCATCGCTGCTCCCCATTATAAGTCAATGGGAGAATCGAAAAGTAGTTGTTTTTCAGCTAAATCGGGCGTGATTGTTCCTATATTTCGTTATTGAAGTGTCTTGGGTCAGCAAATCACAGCCCATGTGAAACCATTTGCTTGTGACCTCGCTGAGGTCACGCTAGGTCATCTCCCTGGTCACCAGAGGTCACCAGCGGTTTTTCTGCACTTACTTGTTATTGAATAGAGATAGAGACTCCGTTCGACGTTTATCGTGTTTGTCTCGTCAATGCGGATCGAATGATATGCAGCATGACCTATTTCGGTAAGGTCATGACCTTGACCTGAGGTCAAATTTTCAAAATGACCTTTCGAGGTCAAACTATATATCATTCGACGCGTCTCGACGAGCCAAGCACGATGGTGCATGAATCGTTTCTCTATTTTCTCGTGAATGCATGCTATAGTTAAAAACATTTTCAACGAAATTTGCCAAGTTGACCTTGCATGACCTCTGTAGGCCAAACCGTTGAGCTGAGGTCAAATCTGACGAACCTTGGCGAAAGAGCTTGAAAAGAGCTATCGATTGCTTTTTTCCGCGGCTCTCTAGCTCTTCTAGTTTCCGAGCTACAGCGGAATATGTCCGGCAACACCGAAAACACTGAAATTTGACCTATGATGACCTCTAGCGACCTCAATATTGACCTTAGCGAAAAAATGACCGAAATACTTTCGAACGTACTTGTTATGGGCTTTCGTTTGCTTTTTTCCGCGTCTTCCTAGCCCTCTTCGTTTTCGAGTTAGACGGGGGGGGGTCATTTTGGCCCCCCCCACCAGGGCGAAGGTGGCTCAGACCCACACCAGGGCGCGGGTTAATAGGAGAAACTTGAACTGTCTTTCTTTTAGACGAAAGTCGTTTAAACACTATCAAACGCCGGGATACAGATAAACAAAATACACTAAATCGAAAAACTGAACCCGTGTCCCCTTTTTACGTCCCTTTGGTCATCTTGGGTCAAAAAAGGTATCCAACAGTTTTTTCAACAGCTTTGGTTAGAGACGTGTTATATAAACAATGAAAACACCTTAGATGCGTTGAGCTCAACTAAAGGAATCGACTGATGTGCCTAGCTCAAAGACGAACGACGAGAATTTCGGGTGGGCCTTATGGTCACCGTGGGTGGGCCATTCCCTGACGCAAAATGAGCGGTCCACCGAGAATCATAAGACAGTTGGCCAAATTTCCAGCCCTCTCCTCCACTTCTCCCTCATCGTTATTTGAGTAGCCGTTGCCCGTTAATGAAATGACTTAAATGGCAATAATCTTCTTTCGGTGAAGTAGGGATAGATCGGCAATTCCCTTTTTCATATTGTAATACCGTATTGGCTAATTCAAACACGTTGCTGGAAATTGGAGTATTGTTCTATCTTTTCTTTTTCAGTGAGGACTGCCCTCCAGAACACCCATCTTCACCGCTCGGCCCAAAGCCGGAACATCCGATTCTTCAGCCACCAGTCTCAAGACAACCGCAGCGATGTCGTCAGCCTCAGAGTTCGGCACCGTCAATTTTGTGGTGATGGCGCTGTTTGTAGCCGCCACGCTGGCTATCGGCGTGTTCTACGGTCTGCGTGGACAGGACGCCCAGGGACTGCTCATCTCACGCGACATGAGAGTCGCTCCCGTGGCCCTGTCAATCATGGCCACTTTTCTGTCGGCCATCTTAATTGTTGGTAAGTGTGTGAGACGTTACCTATTTTATGCAGTACTTTTTGGGGCGTAATTACATTCACGCCGACACACTATCCAATATGCGATGAGGACAGGCTCCACGGCACACTTTTTCGGTTTGTCATTTCGTTTTTTTTTCTCGCTTTTTCTGCTTCTATAGACTATCAGCTTCACTTGATAGCATCGTTGTAGCTCCACGGCATCGAAGCCGAAAAAGCGAGAATACTCGAATGACGCGGAGAAACGCGATCTGTATGCGCTGTAAAGATTGCCATTTCTAATTTGTCGCGATCCTATTTTGAATTTTCCATATTTTCGTGCTATTGTTGTAGATAAAGAACTAAGAAAACTATTTTTCTATAAACTATTTTTCTATAAAATAGAAAACTATATTTTCTATTTTTCACAAGTCCTAGAGATCGTTCAATCCTTAACTTGCAATGACCTCTGACAGAGCTCATGTGACCCTCAGGGACGCCGTCGGAGGTGTTTTATTTCGGCCTGGAGTGGTACGTGTGCGCCATCACGTTCCCTCTGGCCTGTATCATCAGTGCTGCGCTGTTCCTGCCCGTCTTCCACCGGCTAGGATTGACCAGCGTGTACGAGGTAGGCGGTCGATGGGATATGGGCTGGATGTGTGGTTGACAGTCAGGTGTGAAACGTTAAACTTCTGCGTCTTCCGTAGTCCCTTGTTAGCCTTTGGAACGGACTACAGCCTTGCTTGTATGCAGTCCCTTGTTTCGAATAAGCTGCCAAAGCTGCCCGAAAAAAAAAACACAGCCTGACTCCGGCTGAAGTCATGTAGATCTACCATCTACATGTCATACCGACTAAAACTGATAGCGAAATCGTGGACTTCACTTTGAACTACGGAGTAGGTTGGGGGGGGGGGAGGGGAAGCGTGAACAGGAGATTAAGTGGCGCTATAGTGGTCACATCAGTACGTCGTGTGGGCCTCACTCCTGCATCCGGCTTACGTTTTTGCTCACGACATGAACAACGGTGTGTGCTTCGGCGTAAGCTGGTTCAAAGTTTTCTAATGACTGTGTTAACTGTCACTTTTAAATTACCTATGGAGATTTACTCCGGTAATTATTTATGGAGGCACCGTGTGGTCGGGCCAATAACACGATAACTATCGTTGTGTGTACACTGTGCAGTGTACTTGCAGACAAAGTGGACGTTGACGTTCGCCGGCGAGTTAACTAATGCAGCAGAGAAGCTGCAGCCGATTGAAAAAGCCTCGCCGTTTCAACTTGCGTTAGGCATGCATCACTGCAAGTGGAGTCAACAGCGCTCCCGTCGCACATATGACATAAGGAAAAATGGAGACAGGTGCCCACTCATACATTGCGAATGTCTCTTAATTTTTTTCGGCACTCGTCGCTCACTATTGAAAACGGTTGATTTTTATAACGTTTAATAAATACTCTTTATAGGAAAGGTATCGAGTTAAATATCTTGCCGAATGAAATAGCGAAATGGAATTGCAGCGATTTCAGCACACTTTTCAAACTTGATATGAACAAAGTGTTGCCAAGTTGTCCAATCTTTTGCTACTTACATTCAAACCACAGACGACCCACGCATTATTCGATCGCTGACCTTCCTCTGACTACTGTTTTACAGTACCTGGGCCTGAGGTACGACTCCAGCCTGGCCAAGGTGATCGGGACGACTGCGTTCATGACACAGAACCTGCTGTACACCGGCATCGCGCTGTATGCACCCTCGATCGTGCTCAGCAATGTCACTGGTATGCCCGACTGGGCAGCCATTGTGCTGGTTGCCTTCCTCGGCACCTCCTACACCGCATTCGTGAGTGGTTGGACCGTAGGACGGTGCTATCTAGTGGAGAATATCTAGTAGCTGGTCTCACGACGCTTTGGAGAAGTGTTAGTGCAAATGAACATAGTCAATTACCTCTATTCTATGCGGAACATGGGTCGGAAGCACAAGGACGGAATGTGATGCTATTATAGCTTGTTGTTGTGCTTGTGGACAACTGTGCATAGGCGGCGGAACGGGGAGGGCACCGGACACCGGTGCCCCCCTTTGATTCTGACATTTTAACATTAGCAGTATGGGCATTGCATGGAAAGAATGGGACCAAAAGTCGGCAGTGCCCCCCCCCCCCCTCCCTTAATTGAAGGTGTTCCGCCGCTACTGCAACTGTGTACCTATGTAACGCAGTGTACTTTTCAAACATTTAAGTTATAGCGTAATAAGTAGCTTTAGTTTTGATATGTGGACCATCCCAAGCACCGTGACTGGCCTGCAGCCTTTATAGACTTTGTGAACGCAAGCAGATGCGCTACGTCCCATCGTGTCTTGCTTACCCATTGGGCTCTTCGGTACTGTGTGCTGCTAAGAGTTAGGATGTGATCGGATAAGTCGCGGTATGCTCCAGGGGGTCGTGATGTGACACTGTGTATTACGTTGTCTGTTGAACCGATGCTCCGCGTGTTCCCGGGCGCCCACACCGTCATTTAGGCAGAGGTGGTGGAAGGAGCTACATTTTAGTATCTAGTCGGTTACATTGTGCTCACGCTGTGCTCCATGTGCTCCAGGGCGGGTTCCGCGCCGTCATCTGGGCAGACGTGCTGCAGGCGGGCGTCATGGTGGCCGGCGTGCTCGCCATCATCATACAGGGCTGTCTCAACGTCGGCGGCTTCTCAGAGATGTTGGACGTCAACCGGCTGCACGGGAGGCTGACGCTGTTCACGTGAGAATATCTGCGTCTTGGGCAGCTTTGGAAGTAGAGAGGTCGCATATTCCCAACAGTGCTATTCGACGTAAACAATTGTTATGGGTGCCACAAAGGATGCATTTTTTTCGTAGGGTTTCCTCGATATGCTCATTTCTTGGCATGTGTATTATACTTACACGTGCGAATAAGACAGACTTGCTGGATGGCTGTGGCAGTAGATACGTGCCTAAGCTGGCGTAACAACTTCATTTCAAACCCGTCACATAAATGTCCAGATTAATCAATGAATCAGTTTGTGGCTGTTAAAATACACACATACCAGCGCTACTTACACGCGCCAATAATGTTCGTAAGTGGCCCGGCACCTGCTTTATGTCACTCTGACCCATAAGATCTTCTGCGACAGCTGGGACTTTGACCCGCTGCAGCGTCACAACTTCTGGAACATCTTCTTCGGCCAGCTGTTCATGTGGACGTCCCTGCTGGGTGTGAACCAGCCGGCGGTGCAGAGACTTCTCAGCTTGCCCACGTACAGAAAGGCCGCCATGTAAGGATTCTATATGCTGAGTCAAAACTGTCTATTAAATAACTTGCCGAATGTGTCAAATGTATTATCCTAGCGTTAATGGTAACGGTTTTTACCGTAATCGAAACGATTGCAATTAGGCTTTTCAGTATAACGCAGCATAACAATCGTGCAATCAGCGAATGTTTTGAGATTATTTTCCCATGGCAATTGGAAGTGACGGCTAATTCGAGCTTTTACCTTACCAACGCTTAGCCATCGATAAGGCAAATCACAACAACCCACCTTTGCCTATCTGCCAATTTAGAAGCAATACGTTAGGAGTCTTAACACAAGCTGTAGCATATATGTATAACCATTCGTTTAGCCCAGTGCCGATGCCGAACAAATATTTGGAGACATTTCGCAACTATTACACTCCACCTCTCTAGCCGCCGCATCCCGTTTTTAATCCCCAGGACCAGTGTGTTCGGCGGCCTGATGATGTTCATCATGACCACGCTGGCCGTTCTCGCCGGGCTGGCCATCTTCGCCACCTACTCCTCCTGCGACCCGCTGCGGGCCGGCGTGACGAGCCGCCGAGACGAGCTGGTGCCGCACTTTGTGGCCGACCAGCTGGGCCACGTGCCCGGCCTGGGCGGCCTGTTCATCGCCTGCGTGCTCAGCGGCGCGCTCAGCACCATCTCGTCGTCACTGAACTCGCTGGCGGCCGTCACCTGGGAGGATTTCTTCAGGGACAGCGCCTGTATTGTTGGACTGTCAGAGGCGGGACGGCGATGGGCCGTCAGGGCAATAGGTCAGTGGTGGACACTTCTACCAGCTTCCAGCTCATTCATTCATTCATTCATTCATTCATTCATTCATTCATTCATTCATTCATTCATTCATTCATTCATTCATGCAATATCCATTCATTCATATTTAGTTAATTAATTAATTCATTCATTCATTCATTCATTCATATTTAGTTAATTCATTCATTCATTCATTCATTCATTCATTCATTCATTCATTCATTCATTCATTCATTCATTCATTCATTCATTCATTCATTCATTCATTCATCGTTAGTTTTATGCTTGGGGCTGGACTAAATCAATAGCACTGCCTTGTTTGTTGTGTCTTCTTTGATTCCGTTGCTTATCCCTCGCATGGCATAGTGGCATACCCAAGGCCCTAAATACAGGCATACCTTTCTTTGACTTTTATCATCTTTCCAGTCGTCGTGTACGACGTAATTCTTACCCTTCCCGCTGCTTTCCAGCGCTCGTGTACGGCATAGCCTCAATGCTGATGGCATTCCTAGCCAAGAACATGGGTGGCGTTCTTCAGATCGCCATTGGCGTCTACGGTGGCTGCACCGGGCCGGTGCTGGCAATCTTCATACTCGCATTGTTTGTGCCCTTCTCCAACCCGAAGGCAAGCTAGTAGAAAGCACATTCCAACTTTATTTTTAACTTCCGTTGAGGGGAGAGAGTTTGTCATTTGTGGGTGGCGTGGTCGGCTCACATTTGCTAAATACTCGTAACTACGTGCATATTGATACTTTATTAATAAAGAAATCGATTTACCGACTCGTACAGCAACCACGCCAGTTCACTCCAGGATTTAGTCTCGACAGGCTGGCCAAGCTGACCATCCTTTCTGACAGCCCTCGGTTCCTTACTGACCGAGCCCGCTCCACACCACTACAGGGTCTGACTGTGGGACTCCTGGTGGGCCTGGCTCTGGCCCTCTCTGCCTCGTTCGGAGCCTCATTCGGCGGTGCTGCTCCTCCGGCCATGCTGCCCACGGAGGTGGACGGCTGTGGCTTCAACATCACGATCCCAGAGAGTGCCAACGTCGCCACCAGCGCAGCAGAAAAGTCAGTGCAGCTGATCTTTTAACAAATAAATATTATCGCAGGGGCTCGGGGGAGTCGCGAGAGTCCGCCCCTTTCCCAATAGTTTCGCTTCCGTACCGCCACGCAATGTATAAAGTGGTGCAGCTTTGGGTCGGACCCTCCGATTCTGAGATGGTGGCGAATGTATTAACTCGGAGTCCCTGTGTTATTACAATGGTGCCGTAATGGCTCATGTAAAACGTTTATTTGCTATTTGCCAACAATTTTTATAAATGAAAGATTAAAGATTCCCACAAAATGTGCATAAGGCTCATCATTTTAATGCTGGTTTCATTCCTTTCAGGGTTGTGAGAAACAAGTTTTTCAGCATATCGTACATGCTGTACTCCGTCCTGGGCTTTGTCGGGACATTTGTGATCGGCATCATTGTGTCACTTGTGACAGGTAAGTGACCAAACGACTTCCCAACAAATTTATACCAAATATATTTTCGGATTGATTATTAATAGTGAAAATATTACGCGCATGTTTTATGATGCATTTACCCATAAATTTATTGCGTGAAAATCATATATGCACATTGCACACAGATAACGTTTCATGTCAGACCCAATATTACTAGAACATAGTCAGACCCAGGCAAGGAAGGCATCTGATGATATATCATGAACCGTGGTATGGATATAACGTCTGGGAGGTGCCGTAAAAAAAACGTTAAAAGGGACGACGCGGTAAAGAAACATGTGAATAAATTGTATGGGCAATGACGAAAATTTACTCTAGCCATTTATCATGTCAGTTCGCGTTATATCGGTTTTGATATTGGACGCATTGTGTCGTCTGTTTTTCAGGTGGCAGCAATATTGAAGTGAATCCCGAAATGCTCAGCCCCGCAATGTCGTGTTTCGCTCAGAAGGCAAAGTTCCGACTGCCTCACAGCAACGGAGCTTCCAACAACGCCTTCGAAATGGAGAAGAAGTAGTATGTGTGGAAAGGTTGTGTTTTACATGCTTGTGTATGTCACGCATCCGCGGGCGGTGCATTCCTCGAACTGTCATCCTGAGCTGTCTACACTTGCCAGGGACCAAAAAACTAGGTCTGTTTTATACCAGTACATCTACACTCATGTCTGAGAGTTGCGCATGAAAACAAACTATTTAGCTTTGTAAGACAAAATGTTTTATTTTTATACATGCATACATGACCCGTACAACATTCATCAAAAATATCATTTCGCTCAAATGGTAGGATCAAGGTAATATTGGCATGGAATAGAAAAAAATATGGCATGTAATTGTAGATGCAGGATCGTAGGTAGATCAGACGTGAACTGCTCCCGTGTGTAATGTGTTGTGATGTTCTGTCCATTTTTGAGAGGTGAATACCGTTCAGAGACATGCATCATTATTACAGAACAGTAACATAAAAAGCTACAGGTCAGTTAAACAGTCAGCTATCGAGTCAACTACCATTATTTCCACAATCCTTGTATGCAGGTCTTAGATCATCACGACACTCGTATCTCACATACAATGAAATGAAATATGAATAAAACAATATTAGAGCAAATTTTCTTTGAAAAATGCATGTAAAACGCTATAAAACAGTTAACTATGTGTCTGGTAGCGGGGTAGTCTGTGGCATATGACCTCCAAACCTTTGTTTTTGGACTTTGCGCCGGGAGTCGGGACCCTATGGCGTACGAGGAATAACTACTTCATAAATCACGGTACAACGCAAATGTAATGCTTGCTTATCTGCACATTTAAGGCACTATTATGGCCTGTACCACACACTTTCGAATCTACCTCTGCCGAGCAATGTATGTACAATAAACGTGCATCTAAAGCACTTTAGGTAGATTTACGAAATACGTAACGAGTGACCTGGCATGCACGCTACAAAAATACTGTGGGAACGTAAAGTACGTTTTTGCCCCTCAGAGTCGCATGATATTTACATGAAATATATCAAATGAAAAATTAGTGTTTTTCGCCCATTTCGTAGGCATCGTTTGAAGCTCCGTTTGTGTTTGACGGATGGAATTTCTTCTTTCGTGAATGCCATGACATGGCGGGACTCAGGTACTCTTCGTCGACACTGCCCTGTCCTCCACCTGAAATATGACATTTTAATTAGAGGTCTTAAAAACTGCGCGAACTTTCAATGAAAACCCTAAACAGTTTCGTATTTATCCGTAACCTCGACGGGTTTCGTTAGGTATAACCCGGATATGGCTCGACAGTCGCATCCTGCAGGGACACATCGTCCGAGTATGCTTCTGTCACTGTAAAATTGTTGAACACAATAGACTTGTAGGCACAATGCGTTCTCGCTCAATTCGCTCGAGCAGCTACAAAATGATTGACCAGGACTGATCGTAAAAGGGCGTTGAGCTTCGTAAGGCTAGCGCCAATATTCGTGGGACGACTCGCGACCATCTCGTCTCACTCGGTTCATTTCTTGTGAAGCGTTATACTCACCTGTCAAAAGAGACACTAGGATTCCTGTCACCATTGTTGCCACAAAGCCGATCACTGCGTAGAGCATGTAGGAAATGCTGTAGAGCGTATCGAATGTTCCTCTGTAAAACATCATCATTTCATTACTTTCACCAAGCACGGATTCACATGTAAAGCAACATTCTAAACCATCTAAATGAATGATGTATTTACTTCTACAGGCACCGAAGCATCCGGCATTGTATGTGTGCACTCAGCTCTTAGGTATACGAGAAATGCCTCCCCCGAAATATTACGATAATCTGGAATGCAAAATGTATCTGAGAGCCATGGCTTGGGGATCAGCTCAAACCGTTCAATTTCTCTAAATTTACTAGTAAAACTGCTAAACTGTATTCCTGCCGCTCAAGGCCCTATGTATATACCCCGCCGCTCACTTATTAGAAGAGCGTTGAGCCGGTTAAATGGGTTCACTTATGACGGTTATGACCATTACAGGCGTTAGGTCGCATCTATCAGCTCTCACCACGGTCGCTCTTACTTTTCGCGCGTCTCCATGGCGTCATCAGTGACGTTGGCGGTGATTGTGACGTTGAAGCTGCATCCGTCTGCGCTGGATGGCAGCATGACCGGTGGCGCCGCCCCACTGAACGATGCACCGAATGAGATCCAGAGGGAGAGGGCCAGGCCCAGCACCAAACCCGTGGTAACACCCTGCAGGCAGGTCGAAGGGCAAAGTCAGCACCGCTACAGTCAACGGTATATCAGTCATAAAAGGACCAACTAATTATCTGTTATCGCCGTTCAAACATTTTGAGAGAAGACATCACTTAACAACTTTCTTATTACCTAATTTTTTTTTTTTTACATCTGGACGCAATAGTTCGCTGTCTTTCTCACATCGTACAAACACCCGATGGTCTCTCTCTCTCTCTCTCTCTCTCTCTCTCTCTCTCTCTCTCTCTCTCTCTCTCTCTCTCTCTCTCTCTCTCTCTCTCTCTCTCTCCCTCTCTCTCTCTCTCCCTCCCTCTCCCTCACCTTGGGGTTAGTGAAGGGCATGAACAGCCCCATGACGAACATGGCCAGGATTGGTCCGGTGCAGCCGCCGTATACGCCCGTGGCCACTTGAATCACTCCGCCCATGTTCTTGGCCACGAACGCCATCAGCATCGAGATGATGCCGTACACCAGCGCTGCCGGATAGATGTTAACCCTCGCCCGCACATGGGGGGGGGGGTGGTTGCCCCCCCCAGGCAGTCTTTCTGCTCTGCACTCAACATTTTTACAGCTAGAAGGCTGATTTTTCGTATAGCTGCTCCTCTATCCTTTCTTGATGTCCACTGAAAATTTCAAGTTTCTGTGATTTTTGGTTTCGGAGATATGACCTTGTTTTTCAGGTCATGTCATGACCCAAATGGCCAATTCTCAACATCTTGCGTTTGCCATGGGCCTTGTGAGCTTTTGACACCCTGATTTCGGCCTTTTTTGCCAGTCTTACCTCCCACCTATCATGGAACATGTTGTTCGACGATGTACAGGGTCAAGGTCAGGGTCAAGGTCAACCTAGGTCATCTAAGATAATTGCGTTTTAGGCAAGCTGAATTTACTTTTTGTGAAGTTTTTTGACTGCATTTTTGGTAAAAGCTTCTCAGATCATGATTTCATGTAATATGGACCCAAAAACAATCGGTGCACACATCAGTATACACACAGACACACACAGACATACAAACACATATAATTGACCTTGACCTAACTTGACCTGAAATGACCTCAGCAGCAAAATTCTGGTCGGATGGTGTGACAAAGAGGTTCTAGCTGGCTTGGCACCAGAAAACAGCATCGTCATCGGTATTTGATAAGCAGCGCACTTGATATCCAACGGTGACCCAAAACAGCAACATTTTTTAGTTTGACCTGACCTGGAAGGTCAATGACTGACCTGAGAAGGTAAAACTGGGTATCATTGGATTCGTCTCTTCCCAAAGAATCTTTTTGGTCTTTACTGCTAAGCTCTATCTCCAACAGGAACGAAATGGCGCGGGGGGGGGGGGTGGCAACCACCCCCCCCCCATGTGCGTTCTAGGATGGGAAAATGGCATGTGCGGGTGAGGGTTAATGGTCCTTAAATGCATATTTAGTCAACAGTCACCAGTACCGCTGGCCAGAAATATTTGAGGGCATTAATATTGAAGCGTACATTTAGTGAATGTTTAAGAGTGCCGCAATTGAGCCAGGGGTGAGGAACCGGAGCCGGAGCTGGAGCCGGAGCCGCCGGAGCCGGCATATTTTGCCCAGAGCCGGAGCCGGAGCCGGAGTCGTGAAACAATAGGTATAGTCCGAAGCCGGAGCCGGAGTCGGAGCCGTCAAAAAGGGGGCGGCTCCGGCTCCTTTTTTAGGAAAAATTTATTGACCTAGTTCGGCTTGACAGTACAAGGCAGTAAAACATATGGTATTCAAAATATGAAAGTAGCCAAGGCCCTAAAAACAAAAATAGCCTTGTTACCTATGCATATACAGAAGCAACGTGTAGGTAAGTACCAATCCTATTGTCTTCTTCCACCCGTAGGTATTTAATTCCATAGGGGATGTACTGAGTACTGGAGCCGGAGCCGGAGCCGGACCATTTTACTCGGAGCCAGAGCCGGAGCCGGAGCCGCCATGACATTTCACCCGGAACCGGAGCCGGAGCCGGAGCCGGAGCCGATTTTTTATCCGGAGCCGGAGCCCGAGCCCGAGCCGTCTGAAATTTCCACGGCTCCGCATCCCTGAAATGAGCACTTCAAAAGCTACTGAAAGATTGCTATGAACTATCGAATTTCCTTGCAGTTTTCCTCTAGAACGTATGCCTCATTTTAACTATGTCTTCGAGCCACCACCCGACTGACCTATGCCTCGGAGCACCCATCGCCGTCCCGCCTCAGACAGCCGCGCAGTCCAGGCGCTGTCCCTGAAGAAATCCTCCCAGGTGACGGCCGCCAGCGAGTTGAGTGACGACGAGATGGTGCTGAGCGCGCCGCTGAGCACGCAGGCGATGAACAGGCCGCCCAGGCCGGGCACGTGGCCCAGCTGGTCGGCCACAAAGTGCGGCACCAGCTCGTCCCGGCGGCTCGTCACGCCGGCCCGCAGCGGGTCGCAGGACGAGTACGTGGCGAAGATGGCCAGTCCGGAGACGGTGGAGAGGGAGACCATGATGACGATCAGAAAACTGCTGATCAGGCTGGTGCTGTGGACGAGGGAAGGCAGAGATGACTAAACGTGACGTACAACGTTCTACGAGCGCCGTATATCTCTCGGATATACGAGCGCCGTATATCCGCTCGTATGTCAAGCGCCGAGACGACTAGAGGCTTAACCAGTTCAGTGCTTTACTCACTGAGCAAAGAGGCCGGAACGAACCGACTTCATCGGACAAAATGCTGGCGGGCAATGCAATGGTTGCGTTCAAAATATCACATGGCATTACTGAGCTAAAAGAGGACAGCTCCACGTGATTATACGAACCTCAACTCGTGGTTCTGCCTGTTTGAGAGTGAGACGAAACGGACACAACTCACAGTGTTGCCTGTTTGAGCGTGGGCAGGCTGAGCAGCCTCTGAACAGCCGGCTGGTTCACCCCCAGCAGGGAAATCCACACGAAGATCTGGCCGAAGAATGTGTTCCAGAAGTTGTACCGCTGAAGAGGGTCGATGTCCCAGCTGTGGGCAAAAGTGAAGAGCAATAGCTGGTGACAAGCTGCTGTTGAAATGTCAAACGTCGAGTCATAGACCTCTTTCACTATTCTTTAGAATTGTGTTTTTCTATTGAAAAACAAAACTGAGTTCCCTGACAATTTGGCAAAAGCTGCCTGAGATATATGTAGATTTGCGCCTCAATCCATGTAACGCCCGTCTACGCAATGTGACGTGCTTTAGCCAATAGACGACCAATAACTACACTGTTACTTAGCTAACTGCTCAATGACTTATTTATTACTTATGAGCGATCCTCACGTGAACATTGTCAGCCTCCCGTGCTGCCGGTTGACGTCCAGCATCTCTGAGAAGCCGCCGACGTTGATGCAGCCCTGTACGATGATGGCGGTGACGCCACAGACCATGACGCACG